TCGGCTCCATCCTCACCTCCACTGGCTCCCTGCTCGGCTCCATCCTTACCTCCACTGGCTCCCTGCTCGGCTTCATCCTCACCTCCACTGGCTCCCTGCTCGGCTCCATCCTCACCTCGACTGGCTCCCTGCTCGGCTCCATCCTCACCTCCACTCGCTCCCTGCTCTGCCCCCTCCCTCCGGGCTGTCCCGTCCCTGCCAGGGCCGTGGGGCTCCTTCCCAGCCCCCGCAGGTCCTGGCTGCTGTGCACCGCCTCCTCTGACCCCTACACCGCGATCTCGTCCTCCAGGCTGTCGCCCAGGTCCTGCCTGGGCTGGACGTGGAGCAGGCGCGGCGGCTCCTCCTGGGACCAGGAGTCGCGCTCCTCGCTCTCGTCCGTGTTGGACTCGTACTCGGAGGCGATGCCGGACTCTCGGAACTTGATGAGCTCCAGGCTGCCCAGGGCTGGCTCCGGGCCGGGCGGCCCCGAGTCCGGCAGGAAGCGGTAGCACTCCAGCTTCACCAGACAGTCGTTCCTACCTATGGGGCTGCCCACGGCGCTGGGGAAAGCCGAGCTGGGGCCCAGCGGCGGCGGGTGGGTGTCCTCGGGCTGCGGGGTGCTCGGGTCGCAGAGGACGGGGAGCGCGTTGGAGCGGAAGGTGATCTCCAGCAGACTGTCCTGGGAGCCTGCTGCAAGAGAAGGGCACGGCTGAGAGCTCGCCTGGGCATCCCCTGGCCACCACGGCTGGCTGCACACTGGCCGGAGGAGGCCAGTCTGGGGTCATTTGAGTATCAGCCTCTCCACTCTCGCTGTTTTCAGGGGCTTATTTGGTGTCACTAATGCCAGGAGCTGCTGCTGGCCAGCAAAGGGACAGCTCTGCAGGACAAGAAGTTAGCCATCTTCCAGCCCAGCTCCTGAGGAGAGCTGAGGGCCACATCTGCTGGAGAGGAAGGTCAGGTAGGGGCTCTTGGGCAGGTATGGAGCTGGCCTGGAGCACGCAGCCACCGGGGAAAGCGGATGTACAGCTGATGGAGGCAGGTGACTACCTGTCCATACAGCCCTCCCCAAGCCCCTTCCCACGCTGCATGCAAGCGCCCTGCTGCACACACACAAGGCAGGCCAGAGGGGCACAAATAACCCTCTGAAATAAATGACTGGAAATGCACAAAAACCCCAAGACAAACACCCACGTGCGTGTCCCCCGCAGCCCTGGCTAGCGGCGAGGGGAGAGGAACGGGTGGCAGCGCTTACTGGTCGTGTTCCCCGCCAGCTTCAGCTCCAGCTCCTGCACCTGTTTGACCAGGAGCGAGATGTGCTGCAGCAGGTCCTTGTTCTGGAGCAGGAGCTGGTGCACACGAGCCTGGGCCTCCAGCCGGGCCGCCGCTTCTGCCGCCAGCTGGTCCTTCAGCAGGTGGACCTGGGAGGGACACAGCGGGTGAGCAGGGGCAGACCCAGGGCTGAGGGCTCTGGCCACCCCTGCTCACGTCCCAGGGCTCAGCAGCACCCCAGCCACGAGGGACAGCGACAAAGCCATTCCCCACGGGCACTGCGTGCAGGCGGTGCCAGCCCAGGGCTCACTGTCCCCTGCCTCCCTGAGGGACGAGCTGCAGGGCTCACTGTCCCCTGCCTCCCTGAGGGACGAGCTGCAGGGCTCACTGTCCCCTGCTTCCCTGAGGGACGAGCTGCAGGGCTCACTGTCCCCTGCCTCCCTGAGGGACGAGCTGCAGGGCTCACTGTCCCTGGCTTCCCTGAGGGACGAGCTGCAGGGCTCACTGTCCCTGGCCTCCCTGAGGGACGAGCTCCAGGCCAGGAGGGCAGTGTTGACGGAGCTGCCATGGTGCACAGCAGCTGCACATGGAAAGGTGTGCCTGGAAAGGGCAGCCCAGGAGGAGCCAGAGGGGCACGGCAGAGGAAACAGGCTCCACACACTGCATGGTGCCGCGGTGCGAGGGCGCTGGCCCTGGAAGCGATGTCTTTTTGGGCAGCTTTCCCAGAAACAGGGCCCAGCCAGCGGCCTCTGTGCAAGGAGGGGCTGGAGCAGCACCCATGGCAGGGAGCTGCTGAGCAGGGAAGGCTCTGGGGTGTGAGCTGGCTGCTCAGCCTGGCTCTGGGAGATGGGAAAGACCACCACTGATTTCAGCACAACTACCCCTGTAGGAACATCTGTGTCCCCAGAGCCGTGCCCCCGAGGAAGAAGGTGCCCTCCTGCCCAGGGCAGCTCTCTGATCTGCATTCGAGCAAGGAGAACCCCAAAAATGTACATTGCACGAGGGAACAGCAGTGACCTGGGGGCCACTTTGGCTCTGCACCCCTTCCTGGCACCCACCCACGGCTCCTACAATTGCTCCAGCAGGGATTGGAACCAGGAAAGCCCAGATTTACAACTAAATTAAAAAAAAATATCCAAACCAAAAATAACCCCAAAACAAAAATATCCCCAGCGAACACAAAAGGCTATTTTACTGTGGCCTAGAAAGTGACCTTGAGGAAGAAGAGGAAGCTCTCTGTACCTGCCAAGCTGTGAGCTACTCCTGCAGCTGCAGGGCCCCTGGGGGCCACCCGCCCCCCAAGATGGCCCAGATGTGGCCAGCGAGGTGGCACAGCAAGCCTGGGAGTGACAGGAGACCAGGCAAAGGACTGGGATTTACAGCCTTCCGTGAAGCCAGCCCAAGAGCAAGGGGTGCAATATTTTACACTCTGAGCAGGCACCGTGGAGCCTTTTGGATTGTGAGCAACACTGTACTTGGACAGACACAAAGGATTCCCCAAGGATGCAGATCCCTCTTCCAGAGGGGAAAGCAACTGGGCAGTCTGTGACCCCAAAAGGCATCTGGGCTCTGGAGGCAGCAGCTCAACCAGAACTGATCAACAAATACTGATCTACTGATGCGAGAGGAGCAAAGGCACAGGGCAGCACAAAGGCTGCTGGAGCCCATGGCTCGGGCCACGAAGAAAGCTGATGAATTGCAGCGAGCTCTGTGAGGGGTCAGGGAACAAGTAAAGCTCAGGTAATGAGTTGGATAAAGCAGCCAGAGCTGCCTCAGTGAGAAACAGCTTGATGGAGAATGAGCAGCCAGCTGCACAGCCCAGGCACACAGCAGGCACTGGGGCACTGCAGAGCAGCCAGGGGCAGGGGCCCCAGACACCTGGAGGCAAAGCAGAGCCAGCACCTCACGGAGCTCCCTCCCCACGGAGCTGCCTGCCTTCAACGCTGCCTCCAGGAAGGAGACTCCAGCAGCACCCAGGGGCTCAGCAGTGTGCCCCAGCCCTGCCGCTGCCCCCGGGAAAGAACGGAGGGGAGAACCTGTGCCACGGCCACTTGTGTCTGCTGCTGCTGCTGCTGCAGGAGCTGCTGGAGGAGCTGCATCTGGTGGTGGGCAGAGAGCGGTGTTCCCAGGTCGGGCAGCTGGGCAGATGAGGGCAGCAGCATCTTGGGTGACGCCGTCAGGATATCTTCAGGGTGGAGGCAGCTCTGCAAAACACAGAGTTGAAGGTGTGATCCCCTGGCACTGACCCCAGAGAGCCACACATCAGCTTTGGCACAGAGCAGCCGCCCAGAAGACCCAGAAAAGAAGCAGCTGCACTCAAAGCACACTTTGCTGAGGGTGCTTACAGCCTTTGAAAACAGTACTTTTTCAGTTTCAACAACAACCCAAATACTTTAGGTAGAAAACTCCCAAAAAGGCTGACGCTTCCTGTGGGAATTTCCATCGTGTCAAAAAAGTCTTTTATTTTGTGTTTTTGGTGGGAAACAAATGCCTATCAGCTGTGCCCCGTTCCCCTTTCCGTGTGCTGCGCACAGCCGAGCCCCAGCACGGCGCTGAGCAGGAGTGCCCTGGGCCCCAGCCAAAGGGCAGCCTTCGATCCAGGAGCTGGGGAACGCTGCGCCATCGCTGCTGACCCCGAGGGGTGCAGGCCAGGGCGGTGGGGCTGTGGCACCCCCCAGGCCAGGGACCCTGGGCCTGGTGTGGCACCCACCTCCTTGCCCACGGCGTCCAGGTCGGTGACGCCGCGGCTGAAGTCCAGGATGTCGGCTCCGGGCAGCGGCAGCTCCACGGCGTCGATGTCGGTCTCCTCGGCCGAGGCGGCCGCTCTGTCCACGCCGGAGAGGCGGCAGGCTGCGGGACAGGGCACGGCCTGCTGCACCTCAGGCTGCCCTGGCTCACCCGTGGCACGGGCAGCGATGCCCACAGCGGGTCCCACGGTGCCACCCACCCTCCAGCCCTGCGGGGAGCGGGTGCACGGACACGGCTGCCCTTGGTGCTGCTGCTCGGGAGGAGGCTGCAGCCAAACCCCAGCCCCAGCACACCAAACCTGGCAGCCAAAAGCCCTGATGTGGGACAAACGGGCCACCGAGAACAGAAAACACAGATAAAGCTGAAGAAAGGTAAACAAGAGATTACGGGAAAGAAAAACAAAAAACAGATGCTCTGAATTCCCCGGGGAGCTGCATATCGTGGCCGGGACATTGTGTGGAGGAAAAGCAAACAATGAGCGGCCCAGGGCAGCCCGATGATTAGGTCAGCAGGACAGCACTGCTCACACAGGCCAGCAGGAAACCACAGCCCAGGCTGCTCCTGGTGGGATGTGCGGGATCCAGCCCTCAGCATGGCAGGGCACGGCAGGGAATCCACACACAGCACCTGCCAGTGTGTCCTGCTTGGCACTGCAAGGGTTTGACGAACCTCTGACAAAACTTCTGCCTCCCCTCCAGCACAAGGAGCAAGGCTGGGACCCTGCAGAGCTCAGGGTGGTGGGGCTGGAGCAGCAGCCCCCCAGTCAGGCATCCCTGCACCCTCTACCCACAGGGCTGAGAGAGACTGGGCTCTGCGGCCTGCCTGCAGCCCTGACAGCCTGATGGGAGACCAGAAACACGGCAATGTCCGTTCTGGGAATTGCAGAGAGCTGGCCCAGGCCCGGCCATGCCTGGGGACACAAGGAGGGTCTGTGCTTGGGGCCTCCTGTGCAGGAGCAGCAGCGGGGTGATGTTTGCAGTGTGCAGCCAAGCACAGAGCAGAGCCCTGGGCACTGCTAATGGGCTCTCAGCAAGGGGCATGTCTGAGAGCATCAGGCTAACACCTCCAGACGGGTCCTTGCTGGGCAAGATCCCAGCCTGAGCCTGGAGCACAGCGCTGCAGTGCAAATCCATCGCCCAGAGGTGTCAGCCACCAAGGGGCAGCGTGGGGGGACAGTCCCTGTGTGCCCCACATCTGCCAGGCTCCTGGGCCCCCACACCACCTCACAGCTCCTCCTCTGCGCGGTACCTGGCACGTCCAGGTCGTCTCCGTTCCTCTCGCTGTCCGCGTCCTCCTGGCCGTCGGCGTTCTGCTGCGTGTGCTGCAGGCTCAGCTTGTGGCACACCTCGAACGCCTGTCCCACCGTCCGCACGATGCGCATGGCCTGGCTCTGCGGGAGCGCGGGGATGCACCTGCAGCCCGGCTGCCTCTGCACGCTGACCCCCAGCCCGGCACAGCCCTCGGGGGGCTCACACCCCTGGGCTGGAGCTCCAGGGCAGCGCCACGGGGCCCTGCCCCGGCTGCTCCGCCCGGAGGACACCAGGGTGGGACGGGAGATCTTTACCTTCTTCTTGGACTTGAAGACGTTGCACCTGAAGACGTTGCTGGAGCCATCCCTGGCAATGTAGCTGAAGATCTTTAGGTCCTGGGAGTCATGAGATACATAGAATATCCTGCAAGGACAGGATGGAGGATGTCAGCACACCCATTATGCCCAGGAGACTGCCAAGGCCACAACCTATGCTTCCCGTGGCACAGGGTGCTGGCACATGCCCAGCCTCTGCAGCACATCCCTGCTAAAGCCCATCCGAAATTTTTCTGGCAGTGGTTTTACCTCAGCTGGGAAAATCTGCCTGCTGATTCAGCAGCAGCAAACATTTTGTAAAGGCAGCACGGGACTTCTCTGCTCAGCCCCCAGGGACAGCATCAGTGGCCCAGGAGCCCTCCAAGGATGGAGAAGAGCCAAGCCCACTCCTGGCCTGCTGACAGAGCTGGATGCCTTGCCCAGCTGCTGCCACCCCCTTCCCAGCACGGCTGGGGGTCTCTCTCACCCCAATTTGGCCTCCCTGGGACAGACACCCCCTGCCCTTGGCTTTTGGGAACAAGGTGGAGGAGGAGAGCTGGGGACCTTGGGAAGTGCCATGAGCTGCCCATGGCTCTCCAGTGGTCAGCACAGCTGTGGTGTGGGTAAGGGGCACAGCAGAGCCATGCAAGCCTCTGTCCCCTCACCCAACAGCCTTACCTGTAGATGGGATCGTGCATGACGAGCATTTTGTTCTCGTCCCAGGCCCACTCTTTTTTCTGCAATGAAAGGAGCTGAAAATTAGCACGTCAGATGCTGTCCTTGAGAACAAGGACAGGGCACAGAGACAGTCCAGGGACACATTTGGGAATCTCTTGTCACAGCTCTGCTGCCGCTCCCCTGCAGCCCTTTGCCGAGGGTCGGGTCCTGCTGGGGACCAGCCACATCCCACATCACCCCCCACAGGGCCCCTGAGCCCCTTCTGCACCACACCAGGACTGGCTCAGCCACCCTGCAGGAACATCACTCACCCGAGGCTGACCCCAGCCCACCCCTCCCTCTCCCAGCCCACCAGGCTTTCCCAGAAATTCAAGGATGCTGCAGGTCCCTGCAGCAGGAGGGCAGGGGCTCTGCTGCCCCAGGGACTGGTGCTGCCTACCTTCTTCTTCTTCTTCAGGATGACCTTCACACCATCCACCGACACGATGAGATTCACCTTCTTCTTCTTGATATTCTTGGCTTTAAACTCATACTGCAGGAGATGGAAGAACACCTGAATTAGCCTTCCTGTGCCAGGCCAGCCCCAGCAGAGGGGTGAAGAGGCTTTGACAGGAGGGGGCAAGAGGGACAGGGACAGGTTTTCCTGCTCCCACATCAGCCTGTACACCCATGCTGGGACAGGACAGGGGGTCTTTCTGCCTGCAGTGCCCAGCATCTGAAGGAGCACACACCAAAGCAATCCAGCCCCTGGGTGTGGATAATGCTTTACCCAGCTCAGGATGCTGCTGGGAATGTTAGCTTGTGTTTCAAAGGCACTTGCTGTGCCCCTCTGAAGGGCTGTGCCTCCGCAGAGAGGGATCTGGGGAGATCCCTGTCCCCAGGGATCTGCAGCCTGGCTGCGCTTGCCCCGCTGGCTTGTGGCCATTGCTGAGCTCTGGAAAGTGAAATGGCATTTTGAGTTGGGTATTTTTGGGCTCACTGTAAAACTGAAGGTGATTGCTGAGGATTCTGTGAACCCCTCCAGGGGAGATGGGATAATGCAATTATCCACTTCGATTAGAAGTCACCGGACAGGAAAAAATCCCAACGGGAACTTCCAAAGATCAGTGACTAAACACAAAGCTCTGCTCTGGCCTGGGGAGAGAATGAGATTCCCCCCAAATCCACCCACTCTGGCATTTAGAGTGTTCCCAGCGGGGAGAAGGCTGGCAGGAGCAGGCTGTTATCCATTTGGGCTGATCCTGCTGTGGCACTTTTGAGGAGTCCCATAGCTGGTTTGCCATAGGTGCAGCCACATCAGGCACCCGATCTGCTGGTCCCACTTGCACGGAGCTGTGGGCCACGGGGACAGACCCTCTGTGCCCAGAAAAAGCCCTGCATGCTGCCCCTTGCCAGCCCAAGGCGAGGATTTGATGTCCCCTCCCATGATGTGGGCAGTGCAGAGGGAGCGGTGCCCACGCCAGCCTCGCTGTGACACTGCCAGCACCGCGTGATGCATCAGCTCTGGCAGCCAGAGCCAGCAGGCAGGAAAAGCTGCTGGCCCTGACCTGTGATCAAATGATAAAAGACCTGAAAGTGCAATTCCTCAAAGCTGTTTTACAGAGGCTGAAGGGGGTGGGGGATTCAGGAGCTTTGGAGAGCTGTTCTGCCCTCCCCTGAGCAGTGAGCAGGCAAGCCCACCCACACTGGGGCTGAAGCCATGGGCTGGAGAAAGCAGAGCCCAGCTCCCACCGCGGCTCTGGTCAGCCTCAAAGCCCCCAGCACATCCCCAAATGCTGCTTGCATCCTCCATGTTCCTCACAGAGAAGGGTCTCACCAAAGAACCCACCCGTGGGGGCTTCCAAGTGCCGTCCCCACCCTTACCAGCAGAGGTGAAACTGCACTCAAGACCCCCTCTTTGTGTCTTGTCAGGACACTAGGCTGGTGGCACCTCACACTAAAGGAATGTCTTGATTTAGCCCTGAAAAGATGAGTTTTGGCCTGACTGCCCTGGAGTAATTAACCCCGTGCTTTCTGAGGCTCTGCGTGTGATTTTCCAGCAGCTGCAGGGCTGATCTGGAAGCTCTCTGCAGCATCCAGGGTGACTGCACGGCACCTTGGGCACTGCTGCCTGATTTATTGCTCCTGACCAGCACTGATTATACACATCCAGCTGCATTTTGGAGCCCCTGGTGCTGGGGGGTTTCTACTCTGGGCTACCCCAAGTGCCAACTGCTGCGGCTGGAACAGAGGAAGATATCTCAGGGTAAGACAGACTATTTTTAGCCTGGTTTTTGAGTGAGCAACTCTAACAGGACAGCAATGCAGACAGGCCAGGAGGTTTCAGCAAAGACACTACCCAGCTCTGGCACATTTCAGGGACAGAATCATGCAGAGCTCCTTGGAGAGGCTTCCACAATCCCCGGCTGCAGGCAAGGGATTCTGAGCCTGGCAGTGCTGGGGAGCGCTGTGGGAAGAGCTGCTGGGCCTGTGCCACGCTGCCCCTTGTGCTGATGGGTCACAGCAGAACTCCAGCAAAACCCACTGCAAACCAAGCAGTCAGAAGGACCGAGCAGACAGATTTGTTAAACCCTTCCCTAACTCCTTTATCCTGACAGAGCTGAGCTCCGTGCCAGGCTGAGCCATGTGCTCGCAGAGCCGCTGCCCGCTTTGAGGCTGAGGGGAGCCCCAGGGATGAGCTGTCCCACCCAAAGTGCCAGCAGAACACCAGCAAACCCGTGCCCACCGGGGCTCCAAGGAGACACCAAGCAGCATTTAATCACAGAGCAGCACGGAGGAGCAGCCACATCCCCCAGGGCCCCTCCTGCACCACAGCAGCTGCCCCACTGCTCTGACATCCCGGGGCTGTGCAGGGAAATCACGGGGTCCCACGGGCCAGGAGATGCCACTGCTGGCTCAGAGGGGCTCCCTAACTCGGTCTGAGCAAGTGTCAGCTCTGTGCAGTTCCTCTGAGCGAGATCTGAGCCACAGAGACTGCAAGGGGTGAACCCAAAACCCTTCACTTAAGGGAGGAACATCTCTGCACGGCTGATCAGGACCTCCCTGCCTTGGGAGCTGCTCCTGATGACAGCTCTGCCCGGGCACAGAGATCTGCTCTGTCTGCCCATGTTTGTCAGCATTCCTCCTCCTGCTGCAAAACAAAGAGAGAAAGCTTCAGAGGGCTGCAGGATTTCAGCTGCTCCTGCTGCTGGAGGAGAGCAGAGGAGATGATGGCAGGGTTGGAAACGCCACCAAAGGGGTTCTGAGATGGTGGCACAGCCCCAGCCCCTGCTGCTGGCCCCACAACAAGCAGCACTGGCTGACCACAGGAAAAGGAAAGGCACGGGTTTCCACTGGCACCCAGTCCTTGCTGGGAGTGTATCCTGCACTCCCAAAGATGGAATGTCTCTGTGTTTGGGTGCAGTGGTGGCAGCAATTCACCCCCTGCTCGCTGGGCACTGGGATTTGGTGACTGCCTCAGGAGAAAAAACCCATTTCATACATGATAAGCTCAGCTACCCATGGCTCCATCTTGGGGAGCTGAATCCCAGCCTACGGCTTAATAAAGATCTGATACAGAAATAATTATCCAGCTTGAAATCAAAAAAGGAAAGAGGATTTGCACAGCATTCCCATGATTCCCTTTGCTTTCACACCATGCAGGATTTCACTGTACTACTTCTAACCAATTAAAAACCGTAACAGAAGAGCTTTCTTAGCCTTCAACCCAGGCATTTTCCCCCATCACGGGTATATTTCTGGACCTTTAAATATCTGTAATAATATTACAAGCTCGGGTTAATTATATTAATTCTTCTTTATAGCAATGGCAGAAGAAAGAGAAGGATTAATTTCAGGGAAATGCACAGAAAATGGAAAAGGAAACAACAAAATCATCTGTTCCTGGATTTGCACAGCTCCACAGTCGGTCTCCCACTGAAGCTCTAAGAGCTGCATTAAAATTTTTGAGCAAAGACTAAAAGTGGCCATCTGAGATACATCAGTTAAAAACCCCCACGACTCTTTGAGAGGAAAAGCAAAGGTGGTCTCAGTAACACAAAAGAAGTACGAGATCACTCATAAAATCTGACCAAGTGAATAAAGATGATCCCTTCATTTTACCCTGCCCACAAAAAAACATTTGAAAATTCATCTTTTCAAATGGAAGAGAAACATGTACTCCATGAGAGCTCAGCAGCCCTCCCATCGGCCTCGGGTTAGTGGGAGTCTATTTTCAACATCTGTCTTTTGTGCAGAGTTCAGTATTTAAATAACTTTGGAAGGGAAAGAAGGCAGCTGGTGTGTGCATCACTGCACAGCGCATTCCTACCGGCAGAGTGCTAAAAGTGCCCTTGCTGGAGAAGCCAGGAACATATGTTACTTAATAGAGAGCACATGTAACCTTGTCAGCTCGGGGTAAAATTGTGTGTGAGTCCCAGAGCGATGGCTATGTGTGAAAAGCAGGGAGAGCTCAGCATCCCTAGAAAGATGCTTCCTGTCCCTGTGGGAATGATGCTTCCACGCAGCACAAGTGTGAGAAAACACGCTGCACACAGGGTCAGGCAGATCAGGCAGAGGAGGAGAGATGATGTCTTTCTAGATCTGTCACCCCCCCCACATTCACAGGCATCTGAAAAATGTTAACCTGAATAAAAATGCCCTCATTTCATTCCAGCCTGCCTGAACTGCCTCAGGTACAATTGAAGTCTGCTCACTAGCACTGTCTGTAAGTAAGGGAAGGTACCAGGAATGCTTTATGGTCACTTTGTGTCAGCAGAATACAAATAAACAGAGTATTTTTTAAAGGAAGTTGCTCTAAGTGCATCAAGCTGCCCTTGTCCCCATCCACCACCTATCCCCCTCCTCAAAAAAAAAGAATAAAAAAAAAAAAGAATAAAAAAGGTTACAAGCTTGTATCTTGTACTGGGGAAAGAGCAGTGTTCTGAGAATTCAATTAACAGTGCTCACACAGAAAGGACACGGAGCTGTGGGCAAAGGCGGGTGCCCCCAGGCAGCTGTGCTGAATGCAGAGGGCTGCCTGGGCAGCACCCTCAGCTCTGAGCTCCCCTGCCTGGCTCAGCAGCTCATAAAAAGCCTCATAAAATACCTCCCCAGCTGGACTTTAACCCTGGCTCAGCCCAGGCTAACGCCGGCACTCCCTGCACTCGGGGCTGTGCTCTTGATGAAGAATTAACTTATTACAAAATGACAGATCCAGTTCAGCAGGCACCTGACAATCCCTGCTGCTGGAAACACAGGGAACCACAGCAAAGCTCAGAGATGTCCAGCAGCTGCCCAGGAGGGAGGCCAGAGGAACCTTGCTGGGATCCTGAGAGCTGTAACTGGGACACAGGGGTGGCAAAGGCAGCTCTGCACTGGGCACGGGGATTTGGCTTTTCTGAGCCACACAAAGAGATGGCACCAGCCCCAGCGCCCTGCAGGGACTCAGAAGGCACCCGTGGGCTGTGTGGGAATGGGAACCTGCGAGGGAAAGGCCCTTTTTTCCTGGCCAGAAATGCCAAGCCAGCCTGGGCTGGGCAGGGAAAGCAGGAG